TATATATATATATTTATAAACATTTTTCTAGCCTTTCCACACAGTAATGGACCAACCACACTGCTAACGATCCTTCTGCTTCAGTTAAACACTCCGCAGTTTTGTGTTGCATCCCCATCAGAAGCCCAAACGGCTCCACAAGGTTTAGCACTTGGACCACTGTTGTTTCTTTTGTACATTCATGATATCAGGGAAGTGTCTAAGCTGCTACAATTTATTCTGTTGGCAGAAGACATTAATGTATTTTCTTTGTGAAATACGTAAACCATCAATTACACACAATAGAAGAGTTAAATGAGATTAAAAAAGTGCTTGTTTGATATTTTAATTGACAATAAATCAAATTAAATCAAAATATATGCACCTACACACCTTTTTGCCATTTCTTTTATCCAATTTAACAAATGAACTTTTGATAAATGGTGATCAAACATACATAGTGTAAATTTCTTGCAGTATTTATACAGACTTTTAAATAATGTTCAATTTTTCCAAAAATGAAGAAAATTTTAGTATTGAGTGATGTATTATCCTTATATTTTGAACTGTTGCAGGGAAACACAAAATTTAGTTTATTCTTTCAAAAAAGACAAAAAGTAGAAAATGTGATTAAAGTTATTATTAGAGAACCAACAAATACAGTTTTTATTGATTTAAATACATCAACGTTTTAGATCTCGGCCGATTTTTTTAACAGTAAAAATTATATGTGGCGTAACGAGAGCCTTGTGGGGGTAAAAAAAAAAAACAAGAAAAAAGTCATCGTCTCTGAACTCGTACCTGGCCAGCATGAGGTTTGCACTGGGATTGTTGGTCCCAGGGCCCGTGGGGCTCCATTTGATGGTGTAGATTTCTTTACTATGGGCCTGGAGGTCATGGACACACGAATCCTGCTTCATGCTCCAGATCTACAGCAGAAGGATTGGAGCCAATAACTTGAATAAATCTCTGAATTCGACATGCGGTACATTAACAAACACGCTGGAATACAGACTGCTGACCTTGAGCGTCATGTCGTCTGAGCAGGAGGCCAGCAAGCTGCCCGTGGGATCCCACTTTATGGCATTCACTTCATTCTACATGAGCATGATTTAAATTAAAGTAAAGAACATGTGATAAGAATTAGAGATGCTGGAGAAAAAAGACACCAGCTATTTTAGAGCAAAAGCTTTATTTGTCCACTGCAATCCTGCTTTTATTGTAGCTTAGCCAAACTTCCTGTTACTGGATAGTAACAGGAAGGTTCTTGATTCATTATATCTGGTAGGAATCAAGCCTGTGACACTAAGCTCAGCCTTTGTGTTTAATCACAGTCATATCATGACTTAAAGCTGCAGGATTTGACTTTTATAAAAAAAAAAAAAAAAAAAATTCTATAAGTTTTTCCAGAGTTATTGAATCTGTCACTATATGTGGTGACAGTTTGGTATGAGATGGATAATCTGGAGGGGGAAAAAAAGGAGCTCCTCTGCCTTCTTCCAGTGCTAACTAGAAACAACCAATCAGAGCCAAGAGGCGGGTCTTAGTGCTGACAATCACAATCTTGTGTGGCTCTTGCTCTCTGCTAAGCTGCAGCTGGCACAGCCAGTCATAAATGCTAAAGCTAGTTAAGGCATGGCAACTAGCGACGGCAGACAAACAATTTTCCTATAATTAAGTTGTTTTTCCACCATCAGCTCATTTTAGCAGCGAGCACATGAGGATGATTGACAGCACTAAGGCCTTCCTCCTGGCTCTGATTGGCTGTTTTTGACCAGGACTGGTGCATTTCTTCAAATAGCAACAGTAGCTGAAAGAGGAGGTGGAAGGAGATCGATATTTTCACAGATCATCTGCCTCATATTACACCGTCACAACATGGCAACAGTTTTAACAAATATGTAATAAAAATATTTTTGCATAAAAGTGACATACTGAACCTTTAACAATGTGGGCGATTGATTTTTCACATACTGTTATCTCTATCTGACGTTAGTTAGTTTGACATTCTGAAAGCTTTTGGTTTGAAATCTGAGGGTGAACATTCTTGAGCAGACGCGGCGTTTCCACCGTGTGTGCCGTGTGAGTGAGGACTGTGGCGGCCGTCATACCGAGTGTCCCTGGAAAGTCTTGACGGGTCTGTCCTGACCCAGCTTACACACGTGGATGCACATGTCGGTGCTGCAGGAGGCGAACGTGTTGTTGTTCTGCCAGTCCACGTCCAGAGCTGGTGCTATTGGCACATAAACACACAAACACATGGAAGTCATGATCTGGATATAAAATGTTGTTATTCTAACCGGTCAGAGCTCAGTGACCTGTGGGAAGATTATCTTAGCAACGACATCAAACACAACCGTCTGGCTGTAAAAACACCTGATGACGGGGAGAAACTCAAATTCTAACATGTAGGGTAACATCTGACTAAAAATGAGAGTACTACATGAAAAGTGGAGTGAAAAAAAGCGGCTAGCTGTTGTCACTCACCTGAGTGGAAAGGAAACTGCTGCTTTGCTTCCCCTGTGTGTGCGTCCCAGATAATTGTTGTCTGTGTGGAGAGAGACACGGAGACAGAGAGAGAGTTCCATTACCTTCCCAATTTGAAAAGTGAAACAAAGACTTTATGGAAATTTAATTTATGTTTTCTGAATGAGACAACAGAAAAACTGCAGAGTGATATGAAAGATTTTCCAGAATTTCACCAAAAATCTAGTTGGATACGTTAAAAGCGGTGCGGGGGGGAAGGTGAGGGGCATTTTTTTGGGCATCGTACATGAAAAAGTGCAGAGGGACAAAACTGACAGACCAAAAAGAAAAATGCTCATAAGAAAAGAAATTAAGAAAATACAAGGTGAAATAAGATGATATATGCACATTGGAAATAGAGCTGGGTTTAAAAGAAATTCTGAGTGGCTTGATATTGATTCATAAAACCCTTAAATTGACCTTTTAATACTTTTTCAGACTTGTGTTGCATGTTGTAAACAACAACATGAAACATGTCTACAATCTGTGCAAGCAACATATGGAAAATATGATGTACCAGATGAGGAATCCTAACATCTAATAATATAGGAGAGGAATTAAAGAATGCTGCTTTTATCAATGATTATACACTCAACCCTCTGCTGCAAGTGAGGAGAACATTGATGACGTTTTTAACGGCCTAGAGTTACCAAAACTAAAAACATTCTACAAAATGAAACGCTGGTGAGCACAAAAAGCTAATAATTCGCTATTAACTCCACATTTTGAATCAATATTTTCTTTTTTGGTAGCATGAGCTGACATTTCTGCAACCTGCATTTCCCTTTGGTGTTGCACTGAAAGACTGCTAGAGGACAGAGGTCCTTAAGAAGCGACTAGGACCAAGAAACGGTATGTTTTCTTTTTTTAAGTAACAGCTTATTTGTTAGTTATTATAACCTAATCCTGCACAACAGGAGTGTATTCTTTAAAATTAATTCTATACTTAACAATTAATACATATAATAAATATATATGTATTATATATATTTATATATAATATACACATTAGGTGTAATGTTCTTAATTAACATTACACCTAACGATCTGCTATATGGATTTAACAGTAAATTTTTTTTTAAAAATTGCTTTTATATTTCTAAGAACAGATCATGAGATCATGTTATGCATTTCTGTTTTAATTTGCATGCAATTACAATGAAACTGTTTTATTTCTGTTCATAAGAATCTCTTACCAGCACTGCCTAATATAGAGTTAACGTGCTGTTGCGCTTTAGTACACTAGATGGCAGTGTTTACTCATCGATTGATGCATTTCTGACTCTTCAGAAACACAAGAAGCTGATGCGTGATCCCATCCTCGATTCGTCAGAAATCTGGACAGAACGCTTTCCCTGTCTTTATATTTGTTATTCTTAATTGCACGTTTGTAAATGGAAGTGCAGCCATCTTCACTTTAAAACAGCTTTTCTGCTTCAGATTTAGAAAACAGAGCCAAGAACCCAAGAACAATCAATTTAAAGCTTGAAACCCAAAAATATGGCACGCGGCCAAACCCCAGCTGAAAATCAATAAGCCTTACCTTATCTACTCCGGCGCTGAGGATGAAGTTGCCTTTTTTGTTCCACTTGAGTGCAAATATGGGCCCTTTGTGCTGACCCAAAGTACTGGCCAGGTTTCCTGAAGAGCACAACAATCAGACGACTCCGGGAAGGAGATAAATGAGTGTGTTTTGTGCAGCTGTAGTGTGATTAAAGCTATGTGTGTGTGTGTGTGTGTGTGTGTTACCGTCTTTCGTCCATATCCGGGCGAAACCGTCGTATGAGCCGGTGGCCAGTAATGTGCCCTCACTCTGGAAGAGAGGTGCGATTCTTGTTAGCTTCACTGCCATTTAAATGGGTTTCATCTTCATAATTAATGATTTTGTTGTTTTTTCCATGTGAGACTTTAAGAGGAAAACATCAGCTCTTATTTTATGCTGTGCGTGACCTTAGTAGAATAATAAGTATTTGTTTTGTTGGAAGAATGACATTACATCAACAGGGATGCACCGATTGCAGTTTTGTGGCTGATCCCCAACCTGCTGGTAACTGTAGGGAATTTCCACAATCTTTACAGGTTAGATTGACAAATAAACTACTACACAACACTTTGTAAAAGTATTCACACCCCTCGACCAAAGAACTTTATTTTTCTGTTTTTATTGGGTTTTTTTTGTTTGTTTTTTAATGATGAACTTAAACCAGTCCATAAAGATTAAGTCTTGTAGTAAAAACTGTCTTTAGTGTGACCTGAATTTTCTTTCTACCTTTTGCTGAAAATAGTGACATTTCTGCCATTTGTTCATCACAAAGCAGCTCAAGCTTTTTTCATAATACCAACTTAGGTCTGGACTTTGACTAGGCCATTCTTACATCCGACTATGCTCTGATCTGAACCATTCAGTTTTGCTGAAGGTTATTCTTCTGCTGGAAGAAGAGCCTCCACATTTCCTCCCAGGGTTGCTCTGTATTTAGCTCCGCCCATTCTCCCATCAGGTATGAGCAGCTTCTCCATGCCCACAGCATGATGCTGCCACCACCATATGTTACAGTTTGGGATGGCGTGCTTGAACTGACAAGCAGGGCTACTTTTCCATCACTCAAACTGTTCTGTTTCGGTCATTGTCGTCTTCAACATGTTTGCTTTCGAAGACGACAACGGTGGTAAAAATCCAAACAGGAATAAATTCAACTTACGACGGCACTCTAGTTTCTGTTGGTCTAGAAAATAAAGTTGGACCCAAATTTCAAAACTAAAATAAAGCTCTCATTGTAATATTCATCCAAATATTCACCTCTTACTCTTTTCCTCAGGGCTCCAGGGTTATTAGTTTTCATTTTATCTCACTATTACAGTCTTCAAGTGAAGCTCACTTTAAGACCAAATATATGTCTGTTTTATAAGTACAAAAATAAATTTGAGCATTACAAATGAATAAAAATGATAAAAAATATAAAACAATTAAAAATTATGAATTTTTTTGCTTTTTTATGACAAACTAATTAATAAATGAATAAAAAAATACTAAATACTTGCATTTCAAAAATAAAGAATAAATACAGAAATTAAAAATAAATTAAGATTATGAAAAATAGATTAAAGAATAAGACAAAATATGTATTCGTTTAAAAATAAAAACTAAATTAATTTAAAAAAATAAATGAATAACAACAAATGATAATAATAATAAAAAACCAAAAATATTTATGTTATGCTACTTAAAAATTGAGAAGAAGAAAACGTTACTTTTCTTGTGGGAAAATAAAGAATGTTGTGACTAGATGGAAGGCCTTCGGCGATGCCTGTCCAGATCTAGAAACATTTCTAGGTTAGACTCCACACACTCACATTCCAGTCCAGGGAGGTGACGTCCTTGTTGCTGGGGACGTCCTGGCCGCCCTCCCGTATGCAGTGCCTCAGAACCAGCTGGGTGGATCCCCCCGTGCTGTTCTCACTCAGGTTCCAGATCCGCGCCGTCGAGTCTCCTGACCTGGATCAGCAAAAAGGAAGGATGTTTTACAAAGAAAAAAAAAAAAAAAAAAAAGTCATTTATTTGGTTAATCAAGGCGTTTTTTTCCCCCTGCGTATTTAGCGTTCTATGTGAATTGTCATTGTTTTTTCACCGTATGCATACTTTTACAGGGCGTGCTTATTTAACAGTGTCTGTTTTTAATTCTGTTTTAATCTCCGTGGAGCCGCGATAACGAGCCCAGGGACGTAAACGCAGAGCGGCAGAGAAAAGCACAGCAGATTCAAAACGGTGGGCGTTATGACTCAGAACAACACAATGGGTGACTCTGACTTCTTCATTAAATGGAGTAAGGAGAAACAGCGTTTTCCTCCAGCGACGGGGTGTGTGATGAAAAGAAAACACGCAGAAAAACATGTAGACGGATCAGAGCCGCTGTAAACTGCAGCGTTGAAGACGAGGTGTGATTTCTGCTGCCACATCTTTCACTGGGATATCAACCTTGTACATTAAAGTGTTGCTATGGTAGCGAAATAAAACCCCATCAGATCAGGATCATTTCCATTAGCAGCAGTATGCAGACATGTAGAAAAAGGATTAATTGTCAACAGCCTTCTGTGTGTTTCAATGTAGAAAAAAGAAGATTAGTGGTCGACTGATATTTTGGACGGATATTTGCAATTTTTTTTTCTTGCATCGACAAGTGTACGCTTTCAACTACTTTTAATGTATTTTTAGCTGTCTAATTTAGCTCTACATGCCCTTTGATAGTCTCTTTGTCTCAGCATAAGTGGGAAGAAACGACAGTAAATGTTCCATCCACTGTTAAAATGTTTTGTTTGCTTTGTTAAGTCTCTCTTTTATGCTTAAATTGAGACTTGTGTAACATTTGTTACCATTGTTTCATTTTTATCATGTAATGGAGGAAGAAAAGGCTAGAAATGCACTGATCTGATATTAATATGTGTATCAGTTTTGATATTGAAAAAGATTAAAGATTGGGATTGTTTATTCTATATTACACTTCATTAATTGAACTGGCTGAACAAATGAAAGTTATTTACATGTCTGACCAAGCTTGAGAATTTATTGGTGTATTTAAGTGTCTTTACTGGTGCAAAGTTATGTAATTAAATTGTAGTTCAGTATATTTATGGCTGTGTTTTTAAAAAAATAAACATTTTAAGTCCATCCAGCTGTTTTTCTGTATCGGCCGATAAAGGAAGTGAAAAAAGCGGATCAATGCTTCCCTAGAAAAAGCAACATCGGTTTCAAGATTCAGCTCAAAACATTTGGTAGCACATAATGGGGATTGGTTAGACTGATGCAAAAATAACTGCCATTAGTTGAAAAAAAACCCCCAAAAAAACACCTGTATCAGTTGATTTCTACAGAAGATGGATTAAGTTTTTCTGAGAAAATTGATTAAAGATGCCACGACCGCTCTGAAACACGTTCCACACACAGAAAGGTGGTGCTGACCCGGAGGCAAGGAGGTCGTTCACCGGGTTCCAGGCACAGATAAAAACCTCCGACTCGTGGCCTCGCAGGACCATGGCTTTGCTCTGGGGGATCTCCACATCCCGGTCCACGTCCATCATCTCTGAGTAGTTATCTACAGCAGAGGGAAGGGAACACAGTCAAACCAAGGATTCACTGGCTAAGGCACAAATAAACAGTCAGACCTGCACACATTCCAGGTTTTGAGGCTAAACTCTGGTGTTTCAGCATTGAGCTACCAATACTGATTTTAGATTATTTCAATTTTACTTGAATAAAAAATGACATACTTGTGTTCACGCATCTGGAAGAAAAACAAAAAACAAAGACAAAATATCAAAACAAAGTGGTGCTCTTCCTGTTCACCACAATAACTTGTTTCCATGAAGCGAGCGTCTGCTCTGGGATTTAGATTAGGGGAACATGCAGGATGCCAATTTTGAGAGTGAGTATCACAAAGGGCTTTAATATGACTCCAGGATCGGCCAGAGTTGTCATGGTAACAACTTTTGTTTAGCACTTGTGAAATTGTCTTGGATCTATGACTTGATATTTTGTCTCACGGGGGGAAAAAACCACATATGCAAGTATACCATTTTATTTATGAATTTAAAGGAACGGTCTGTATTTTTGAGACACAGCACCATTATATAACACAATCAAGTAACTATGTCACCTTGAGTTGATATGAAAATGCTGTATATATCAAACATTATGTAAAATAAATTTGATTTTATAATTTAATGCCTTGCAATTCTGCCTCTGTCTCTTTAAGAAGCTCTTGTTCATTCTGAAACTTCACCTTCAGGAAGTCATTAAGACATTTTTATCAGTCTAAGAAGTAAATCCTATAATAACTCAGCAGAATGAGGAAAAATCAATCAATCAAATTTTATTTGTATAGCACATTTCAGCAGCAAGGCATTTCAAAGTGCTTCACATAATTAAAATAAAAGCAGCATGTGACATTGAAAAAACAATGAGAAAGAGAAAGACAAACAGCACAAAAACAACACATGGTGCAGTTCCACCAGCAGCTAATTGCTGCTGGCTAGTCTGAAGGAGCTGAGTAGGAGAGCTGCAGGGGAGGGAGCCTCTGTGACGCAGAAGCTTGAAAACTGCAGCTCAGAGGAGGAGCTACACCTCGAAAGCAGGGCTAAGGCAGATCAGGCGTTTTGCACAGCTGAATGGTTGCCATGGAGATTAAAAGATTTATCAAGCATGCATGAAAGAATCAAAGCAACACTCCAGATGTGTTTTAATGAGGGAATAACATTGTAATGTCAAAAAAGTTGATCTTACAGAATACTGTTCCTTTAAGACATCTTAAGGTCTTAATTTTAGATACATGAATTTAAGACTTTATAAGGATGCACAGACACCCTGAGTAGAAAAAAGCTTCCTCACTGATTTCTTAGTGCACTTTTATCTTAGCTTATCCTAAATTCCCTACAAATCACACAAGGAGCAGCATGGTGTGTGTGGAGTTAGCTTACTGGCTAAGGCATGTGATCCGTTTTCCTCTCCGTTAGCGGGTCCTCCGTCCCCGTTCTTGGAACCTCCCTGTAGCCCCGTGCTGCTGCTGCCCGCCGCCGCCTGCTGAGCCAGTTTGTCTCTGTAGGCCTGCTGCCGGGTCTGGACCACATCCGGCATGACGGCGTCGATCAGAGACAGTGACTCGATGGGCCGTCCGTCAAACAGGGTCCCGTCCTGGACAGAGACAACAAGCTTCACACTCACACCGCAGCGCATCGTCGTCCGTAGAAGGACGGACGTCGGGAAAAGAAGCGAAACGACGATGGAGGTTTATCTCCTAATTAAAAGGAAGTGGACCTCGTTGATGCTGACTTCAGCCTCCACATACTGCAGGCCCTTCTGGATGATGGAGATGAGGGCAGCAGGGGGCACCAGGGCTCCATTGATGTTCGACTGGCTGATGTGGCTCTCTATGCCAAAGGTGAATGCTGAGTGGGAGAAGCCTGGAGGATGGTGGGGAAAAATTGGAAAGTAGAACGGAAGCTCATTAGCAGAGTGTCCGAAGGTTAGCTGTAGCAGCGGCTGTCAAATCATTTTAAATCGACTCCACAAGGTTTTCCGATGGCACAGAAAGCAGCTGTACCTGACTCTTGTAGGTATCTGTAAACCAGGAAGTTGACCTCATCGCTGCTGATGCTCATTTTTAGTCCTGCTGATTAAACCATCGGGTCAGCACAGGTCAGTAGCCTGTAAAACACGAACGGAAGCGAATGAAACTGTAAAACTTTAGAAAAATCCCAACCCGGAATGATATTTTCTCTTTCCACCCTACTTTCACTAAAGGCACATGCCTCGTCACTGAAGCCAGGCCCACCGGTTTCCACTCATTAACCTACATCTGGAAGTGATTCCTGCACGGCTTGTGTTTGTGCTCTATTCCTGTTCTGGCAGAACCTATACTGTTTAAATGGAAATGTCGGAATAAACAAGAAGAGTGGAAAAAGGACAGAATGTCCACTGTTTGCATTCTGCCAGCCCGCTGAATGAGTCAACACGTCTTCTGCTACGTCCCTAAAGGCTGATGTTCAACGCCAGCAAAACCTGGAGGCCTGGAATGGAGGAAAAGGCCTCCAGGAAGCCGTGAAGCAGACGGTCAGAGAGTCCAGCTGGTTACTGAGCCTCAACACTACGACTCAGTAGATTTCAGGTAATTCGACACAACACAAGCTGTGGCAGAGATGGAACTCAGTGTTTGATCCTATATGCATTCACACCAGTCCAGTTCAGTCCGCTTTAATCCAACTCCAGTCTGTTTGCCTATAATGTCCGGTTCATTTGGGTAGGTGTGAATTCGTAATCGAACTCTGATTTAAAAAAGCAAACTCTGGCCCGACTAAAAACCTCGACCACGGTGCGGTTGAAGGGAACTCTGGTGTGGTTTGAATTCATATGTGAACACCAAGCAGACCGGAGACCGCTTCAAAAGCAGGAAGTGGACTGTAACGCAAGGCATTCTGGGTAAATACAATCAAAGCAAACATAAGAGTCTAGCGTTGGAGGGAGAAATAACTTGTGTTCTGTTCTGTTTTTTTGTTGTTTTTTTTAACCAAAGGCAAAAGAGAAATCCTCCAACCACTAGAATCTGAACCTTCCCCATATTTGCTTGCATTTTGTGAAGAAGGAAGTTGTGCTCTGTGTCTTCTTCAGAGGTTTTCATGTTGTTTCCTTCAGTGGTTCTTGATGCAGCGCCACCACAGGTATGGAGGAGAACAGTTTTTCAATTAGTTTGTTGTGTGAAAGAGAACCACAGCACCTGAAAATGTTACAAAAGCTGCAATTTTGTCCCCAATGGAACAGAGCTTCCTGGACTATCAGGTTTGAAAATAAAAATAAGATCTTGGCTTCTTAGGGCATTTTCACACCTGACAGTTCAGTAGACTCTGTTCCATTGAGGACCAATATGGCAACATCTGGTTTATTTTCAGCTACTGTAATTCACTTTCACACCTCACTCTGTCAAATGAATAAAACACTTTGAAAAAAATTGTTCACCCCATCACCTGTGGGGGCGCCACACCAATAACCACTGAAGAAGAATTGAATGCAACTTCCTTCTTCACAACATGAAAGCAAAAATGCAGTAGCGTCAGATGGTTGTAGAATTTTTCTTTTGTTTTTTGTAAAAAAAAAAAACACGAGCAATTTCTCCCACTGGCACTAGACTCTCATTGTATTTACCCAGAATGCCTTGCATTATAGTCTGCTTCCTGCTTTTGGAGAGGTCTCCAGTCCGCTTGGGATTCACATATGAATTTGAGCCGCACCGGAGTTCACTTCAACCAAACCGAGACCTGTGTTTTTAAGTAAACCGGAGTTTATGTTTTTGGTCCACACTCACATTCACACCTCTAGAGTTGATTAAAGCAGACCAAACAGGGCTGGTGTGAATGCGCCCTTAATGGCCTGTAAAAGTATTCATATCCCTCTAACTTTTTCACATTTTGTACAGCTGCAGCTAGAAACTTAAGTATTTTATATATAATTTCATGTGAAAAGACCAACACAAACTAGGAAATAACTGGCGGTGTATGATCCACAGTTTTCTACAGTCAGACATGTTTGTATTTAATCCACCTGACAGACTGGATGGATTCCAGAATCACAGTCTGTTGCATTCACAGCTGCAGATTTTCAGCCAATTTTGCTACCAGTGGTACAGGTGCATTGCACAAAGTGAATCAAATTATGAAACCTCCAATCAACAGGCAGAAAACCAACCAATTTAAATTCAGAGTGGTCAAATACGGAGCCAGAATTATGCTGACTGATGGCTAAAGTATGCGGTCAATTACCTCAGTTGAGTTTCAAAGCAATGAATTTTGGGATTTGGAAAACAAATTACACAAAATGTCCCGGCTGCATGTACAGAATCAATTCAGCGTTTCTTTTCTCAACTCCTAACAGGAATGTGGTCATCAATACAGTACCCATGTGATCATCAAGACGTCTTCAGTTGCACATGATGGCCGCCTCGTCTCTGGACCCTGAAATAGAGAACAAAAACAGACCCTGAGTGTTCACCGTCAACTTCATGAACCTTCAAATACTCCATATTTGCACTCTGCAGTGTCACTTTGAGTTTTTCAAACTGGTGTTTTTCAGAAAATTGACGCAGCAAGACAACTTCTCAGGTTAGTAGGGCGACAGTACATTACTAGAGCAAAGCTATTTAATAAATTATATTTGCAAAATATTCCCCTAAAACGTGGTTTGTCTGTTTTACGGTGACCTTGTCTCTAGAGGGCAGAAAGCTGAGATCCTGGAATATCCTGGGAAAAGATCATTTAGAAAACAAACCAAATCAGAGAAGAAAACAAAAGTTTCTTCTTACTTTTAACTGAGTTCTATAGTAACGAGGATTATCTGCACAGATTTTATTAGTTTTACTCAAAGACATTAGGCTGCTGTCCATTGTGAGGAAAAGTGTAAAAACTGTTTTTGTATACTAGATAATTGTATTGATATTTGCATATTACACCATTCCCTTCAAATGTTCTTCTTAATGTCCTGTTTTATCATAGAGACGTTCTGCAAAAATAACAGTCAGCTCTTAGATCTTTGAGAAATAACCATTACCTTGTATACGCACAGTGACATCCTGTACGATTGAAAAGTTCATTTATTTCAGTAACTCCGTCACTAAATGAAGTTTATATACATTAAATTGGTGTTTTCAAGCCTTCGTTTCTGCTAACTATCAAGATTTTCCGGTCATAATCATGAAAATGTGACATTTTAGACCAGAAAATTACATCAGAAAAATTAAAAACATTTCTAACAGAAATTGGGGTTCACTGAAAAGTATGTTTAATACCAGCTTAAAGGTTATCTTCAAAAAGGTACTTTAATCTGACAGATGAGCATCATTGGAACACAGTTTCTAATCAATTGAATATGTTCTGCACCTGGAAATTAACCAAAGAATGAAAAGGTTAAGATATCTTCTGCAACTAATAAAAACTAAAAAACTATTTAACTAATAAAAACCACTAAACCCACTCTAATTAAAACGAATTAAACATAATTAGATGAAAAGTCACCACAAAAAACTAAAATTAAACTATGATGAAAAATCCTGCAGCTGAAGGTGTTCAGGAAGTCCAGATTGCTTTGATAACCACATTTGGCTTGTTAGTGATGAAGATGATGATGGATGGTTTGTGGAACCAACCAGTCACAGGATTTACATCAATCACCAAGAAGAGAAAGACGCCGAGGTGTAAACTGTAAATCTTGTTTGGCCTCCGGAGCTCGTTTGCCTTCAATGTCTTCAAAATTTTTACACCAGGGAAACACCCGGCACAGATTTCGTTCACATGGTGCTATCAATACCAGAGCAGACTTCCTGTTGTCCGCCTCATCTCTAAAACCTCACAGCTGTGCGGTTGCGGAGCGTCTCGGCGACCACGAAGGGAAACTGTCCAGTCAGCAGATTTCTACATCCTAATCTCTGCGAAAACGTTACATTTCTGTGTCAAAAATACCTTTTTCACTTTTTGTTTGTTTGACATACTATTCAAAGTTTTAAAGAAATTATATATGGGGTTCTCATTAGCTTTAAATTATAATTATCTAAATTAACATAAGTGCATATGGATAAGTTTAGCTTTCAAAAATATACTTAAAAAAACCCAAAACATTTGAATATGGTAATATTTCCATTCATAAAGACGCACCTGTGCTTGTACAAATGCTTATTATATGTTAAAAACGGCTAGCAAAAGGAGCTAAAATAACTTGAGGGTGGACATCAGGCGGACCAGCCCAGTTCGAGGTGAAATGGGAGTATCACGGCCATTCTATAAATAAACAGACAAACAACGTGGAATATCTGGACCTGCCTGCTGTTCAAAAAAAAACAAAAAAAAAAAACACTGCAACTCAGTTGTTTCGGAAACTAAAGTAATCACAGCGGTAGTGTAAAGCCGTGTAACCTTAGCTCACTGGCTACCATGCGTGTGTAATCAGTTCGGCATGGCGCTGGTTGTACCCGTCAACACACATGCCAGTCAGTCAAGGCGGGGAACGGCTTACTTATTTTGATGCAGGCATTTGCGTCCCGTGCCTATTGTAATAACTTCGCATTTGTGCTTGTTATTTTTATTGCGTTATTACTACTAATTACCGTCATTTGAATACCTCTCTAACATAAATTCCTGCTTTGAACCAAAAGGTCGTCAGGCTGCTACTCTCGTGGACTTGCCAACAAGCTAGCTGGCTAACTGCATAAACCTAGCATGCTATGCTAATGACAGTGTAGCTACAATGTCATACCTACTTGGGTTAAAACTTCCAACAGACGGTATCTTCCATTCACTTTGACGCTCAAGTCAGACCATGTTGTCGCTTTAATCCATTGCAGGGTTGCTCCCTTTAGCGCATAGATGAACTATGGTGAGGTTATAATATTAAAGCTAAAACCCGGCGGTAAGAGCCCAGCAACGGCTTCAGACACACAGCGGAGTGACCTGTCATGCTAAAATGGGCTGCTTGTAACCACTGTTATTTCAGAACGTCAGACAGACTCTAAAGCCCATTTGAAAGATTATTAACCCGTGGTGGCAGCAGGGAACAGTATATGTTTACAGTATCGTCGGTCAGTATTAAGGATAACGTTAAGTACTTGATTTAAAGAGGACAAAACTATTTATTTGTATCTCTAGCCTAGTTTTAAAAGGCCACCAAGCACCTGCGTGTGTTTAGCACAAGCTGAAAGCGTTAATTAAATATTAATTCATGGTACATTAAACACGTTCAAAGAAGGGGGGAAAATGAAGCAGCGTTTCTTTAAAACGAACGAAGACAGAAGAAAATGAGGAGAACTAAAAGTCTGACGTTCAGAAGTTTGTGTATCATGAATCAGTCATAACAGAGCCTTGTCGCCCATCCCCCACTACACCTCATTTTCTCTTGGCAAGTCACCACTAGCTGTGGATTAATGACACCCCACCCCCCCATCCTTTGCTCAGTCATTCAGACTAGGAAAGTCAACAACAAGCTTACATCATCATTGCAATTTGGATTTTACACTGATTTTCTTTCTCTTTTTTTTCTGGCAGCTCTCAGTGCTCATAATCATATCCATTTCCCTAGCGGTGTATCTCATGGTGAAAGATATTTTCTCACATTCCTCTCTTCATAGGCTTAAGGATATGATCAAGCGAGATTTTTTTTTTTTTACTGACAAGTACCTAACTTGCTATACATTTTTTTTTCTTCTTGAAAAAAAGAATAACCTTAAATTCAGTGGTGGGTACTGGTAACTAAGAAGTTAGTGTCCAGACTAATATGAAAGCACTATTTATACTTCCTTTCACCAACCAATGCTAAAGCTCTGCACAACACATTTTTTAGTGGAAGCTAATGAAAGCACTACCCAGCACATTATTTAGTGGAAGCTAAAGCATTAACTTCAATCAAGTTTATAACCACAAAGTGTCTAATAATGTTCTTCAAAATTGTATATCAACTTCAACAGGATCAAATGCCATGTCCAACTGCTGTGAAAATAGGCTTCACCCACTTTAAAATAGCATGACTATAAAGGTCTAACTACATATACTTTGCAGCCGATAAACAAAACTTCAATACAGACGTGGGACTATATTAAAATTATTAAAATTTACAAAACACCCTGTAAATTGGTGCTTTAGAATTTATTTGGAAAAAAATAATTTAGGGGAAGCTAAGTGTGCTGCATTTTTTTTAAACGTTAGCATTAGCATTAAGGGCTAAACAAAAAAAAATTGATTAGCAGAATAACGGAAGTGTGTTGCTTAATGTAGTAGTCTGAAACAGCGCTCACATGTGTTCATGCTGCTGCCGAACAGAACACAGATACAATCATTTGATGGAGAAACATGAAAATAAAGTGAAAACTACAAATGAACACCAAAAAGAACTCTGATCATCTCACTTATGCCTTATGTGGTGTCATCAGAGGACAACGAAAGCTTGTCTTTGGAATGGCAAACTTCTTTTCTTGATTAAAAAGTCTTTAGTTAGCAAAACAGCAAAAGTCACATGTTCTACAGTTACCAATCTTTATAGCTTAAGTTCTATAACTTCATAGAAAACTAGGTGTGCAGCTTTAAATATATAATAAATAATCCCTGTAAGGAAAAGAAGAACATAAATAGAGCATTCTTTTCATGGCAAAAATGGTTTCATTGTTATTTCAGGATACCTTCGATAAGGCAGCAGTCCAGCTGCAGTCCTTCTTTTTCAGCATGAGATGATGAAATATACTGAAATGCTGTTATGAAGTCCTTGAAATGTGCAGAACAGTAGCAGAAACTGTCCTGCATAATCATTGATGTACTGCTGTTTTATATGGTCACTAAACATGAGCTGTGATAGAAGCACTTTATACAAATTACAGCATCTACTCATTGGTTTTTGAATAATCAAACATGCACCTACGTATAGGTATAGGTACGTATATAGATACGTAGGTACCTAAGTACCTATACCCACACACAAATCCTTGTGTGTGGGTATACACACACACTTTCAGTCATTTTTATAATTGCATTATGCCTAATCTAGACTTTTTCCTTAATCTTTAACATAACTAACCCTAACCTTAACCAAAACTTAATTCACATCATACCTCTAAATCAAGCTAGTAAAGTGTGTTAAACTAGAGAAAATCAAATGCCAAAATGCTTCCAAAACACAAAAACTATTCCTTTAATTTAGCACAGAACTTCTTGATGTTCAGCGAGATTTTACAGAGTTTGCATGCTGTGTCGATCCTCATTGACTGGACATGAAACAAAGGAAGTGAATATTTGTTCTAAACACAAATGACATTTTAATATTTATTTTGTTTCCGTACTGCCCTGGGCAGAACGCCTTGTTGCCCCAGATAAAACATGCCTGCCGACCTGAAGCAGGTCATTTGCATTATGTGTTTTCACAGTCACTTGCACTATTTCTCTAATTTTGAAACATTTCTGCTGTTATTGTGCATCTATTTTTCTGATATGCTTTGTTGTAAATAGTCTTCTGTTGTTTTTTTATGTTCAGTACACATGCTTGTACATTAAAAAAAGAAAGAAAAAGTCATTTTGGTTCCCCTAGATCGGAGAATTATGTTTTTATTTCTGATAACCACACCATATTTTTCATATTATAATCTTGTATAACAATATTGTTATTATTTTTCATGGTTGTTGTTTTTAATCTTGTTTTTTTTATATATTTTTCACACTTTCTGATCTTTGGTGTGACCCTATTCTATTCTATTCTATTCTATTCTATTCTATTCTATTCTATTCTATTCTATTAATTAAATCCAAGAATCCCCCAGTAATCAAATCAGCACTAATAAACATCAGAATATTTGTGTGGAAGTAGATGGCAGAAATGTAAAATTAATTAATTAATTAACAATTCCCATTTGTAAAGTCTACCTTATTACACAAGTTAATGAATCATATCATCATATACAATCCCAGTACTATTCAATAACAGAGATCCTCAGGCTCTTTTCCACCATCTTTTTAGTTTGTAACATTTGAAACTCCACTTTTTTAATCAATTGAATTGTGGCCAACTGCTACTATAAAGCTTCGATTGTTAAAAGAAGAAAAAAAAGGCACAAATCTGTTTCATTTTGTCTCCATATTAACGAGAAAGTTCCTCCACTTTCTGGCCGGTTCTCTGATAGCCGACAGGAATATGTGCTCCGTCACTCCCACTGAATGAGAGGCTTTTGGCAGCAGCAGCAGAAGAAGAAATCTGGAGTGGATTCCTCATGCAGAGTGCCAGGCTTTATGCAACATATTATTCACTCTTCAGAGACAAATCTTGTGAGATGACTCGCCTCCTCTTTGTCTCTATAAATCTCACTCATCCGTTTTCACCTTCTGTGCACTTGCATGGTGCAGACCCGTGTGCCACGGGAGGACAAATGGAAGGCATGAGAAGAAAAACCCAAACTATGAGGTCTGTTTGTGTCAGCAAAGTGCTTTCCCTCTCCAAGAACCTGAACCAGCACAAAGTCCTTTTGTAAAATAAATAAGATATTGTGTTGCCTGTAAGCGACTTTTGCTTATACCCCTAGAACTTTTCAGCATTCGTCGTGACAACGCAATAAGCCAACAAGAAAGCTGCTGGGCGCTATGGGATATAGGTCCAGAAGCGTATTACAAGCTTCAGCGCCTTTCAGTCCAGCTCTGAGACGCCTGAAAGACATCATCCCAGAGGTTTTCACAGTGCAGACACAGAACCACAAGAACTCCCTCTAATTAGAACAGAAACTGTGGAAAGCACCCGCACGCGTGTGTGTGTGTGTGTGTGTGTGTGCGTGCACCGAATGCACCTGGGAAGACTCAATGTGCTGTTAAGCCAAATAGTTGCTGGAACTTTCTGTGGTTGTTTTAAGAACTGGAGAACTTACTGACTTTTTCCTTTTTTAATTTTTTTATTTTTTGCCTGATAGTAATTTGCATTGAACATAGAAATGTTGAGAGACTGCAAACAGAACCACGAGGTCAATATTCACTCCAAAGAACGTCAGATTTTTCTTGTCACACTTCCACCATAAAGTTCAGTAGGGTTTATTGGGATTTTATGCTCAGATGACGACAAAGAAGCGCATAACTGTGCAATGGGACTAAAGGGACACATTATTCTTTCAGATAAAAATCTGGAAATATCAAAAGCGTGGCTATATTAGACATTTATTAGCTGTTTGGGCCCCTGAGTCACTGCACTGTAAAGGTGCCTGTCAATAAAATAACAGCTGTTACAACTGTTTCGAATTACGTCTTTGTCACCTTTGCACATTTCCAACCTCATCCTACACCTGCTTATCCTGGTGGGCCGGGGCCTGGCGGAGGTCGCGTCAATGTGTGAGAGGTCAGCAGAGTCTCTGCAGGAGGCAGCAGCAGGGCTCTGCATATCTACAGACTGACGAGTCGTCACATTCCGCTTTACAAAGTAGCTTAATCTGTTTGTGTTCATTGTTCAAAGTCTTATTTTCACCATGTTATTCATTCATTTGTTTGTTTGTTCATAAATATTGCATAATTCAACCTAAATATGCTAGCAAGCTAGTATTTAGCTTCTAACTAAATATTTTGTTAGCTCCAACATATATTGTTAACAAGCTTGGTAACAATTTTCTTTAGTTTGGAACTAAATATCAAAATAGAGTTGATTTTTAAGTCAGCAAGCTAAATATTGAATTTGTAAATGAATTATTTAGTAATTATTCAGTTAACCACATAAATATTTAGTCTCCAAATTTTGTTTGCGAGCTAAATATTTAGCTCCAAACTAAATATTTAGTTAGGAAACACAATATTTACGTCATGCTGTCCCCAACAAGATGCCGCCCTGGGTGGTTGCCCATGTCACCCATATCAGAAACCACCATTCCCTTTAATATTCTTCAGATTCATTCCTTCCTTACACTCAGTTTTTGCTCTTGTGTTTAATTTTAGTCATATCTTTCATTTTGATTTAG